GAAAATTTGACGAGCTTCGAACAGTGGTTAAATCGTCTAGCCAGCATATTACTTCTACATGTAATGTTACGCTTTTGTCTCTCTAGTTCACAATCATCTCTCAGTTCTTCTGTCAACATATGTTCGAGATATTTAAATTTACTATTTTTAAAGTATTCCCATATAAATTAGTTTTCGGCAAGATTTCATATTATTATAGACTTAATATATTTATCAAGAGAGAACAGGAAAGACAAGAGTTGTTAACAATCGCTTTCAGTAACCGAGTTATATTCATACCGTTCATAGATGGTAATAAGACAAAGTTAATTAATAAACTGATCGTATCGTGCTGCCATTATGGAACTGGCTACAACATAATATTTTCCTAATGTAATGTACTTATTTGTTTACTGTATTTTAATGTATTTAGTCGATACAAATAGTAATGTTAGTGTTTTGTAGTTCAGTTAAAGTTTACCACCTCATTATTTTGTGTATAATAACATTGTTACCAAAAATTGCGAAAGAAATACTCAATATGACAATATTTGTGCGTAAAATATGTTGTAAATAGCAGGATGCAGTAATAAAACATATATGCATTTATGATATAAAATAATATGTTTAGTGAAAAAATACAAGATACATTTTATATAAAATCTGACATAGAACATACTTAAAAATAATACATTGTTCTAAAAAACCTCAGTGTCAACAGCCAGTATTAAAACTCCAACAAAATACATATTAATGATATAAACGTAAAAGTGAGTTTCTTCCCTTCTGGTTGCTTAACTGTTCAACCAATCGTCATGAAATGTTATTGTTAATGCTACTATTATTTATTCTAAACAATCAATATATCCTAGATACGCGAACGAAACTAGATAACATGTCGAAGGTGTGAAAAAACTCACATTCCAGTGTGTTGCTGTGGCGGCTTTGGGACGCTGGAATTCCTTGTACTCTCACGCTACGATTTGTCATACCTGTTCATGCTGTCTTGGTAATTGCTAGACTTTCGCAATGCGGAATTGCTTACTTTTTTCTATTTTAATTCACTTCTTCAGTCTGTGTCTCGCGCTAGTGTTATTAGGAATAACAAAACTGTATACTTGTGTGTAGGTGATGTCCAATTAATAAGATTTTTTAAATTGGTAGTCAAGGATTTCTCTAATGAGCAGCAGCTATTTTTCTATTTAAAACATTTTTATGTGTTGTTTTTTACAAAATTTATTTCAATATTTCAACACATTTGACTATTTGACATATTAATGCCTTATTTGGTTGAATGCACATTATTCTCATTAGATAAAGCTTTTTAATTTCTGATCGTGCATCTTTCACTTCTGTATATCAAGGTAGGTGGTTTCGTACGGATGAAAACATAGATATAGCCTAAAGTTTACAAATGTTCTGACTTATTCAGCAGTGTATAGAAAAAATTATATTATGATCTAGAAACAGAAAAAAGTATTCATTACCTTTCTTAATATGAAGACTATCATGGGCGAAACAGTATACTCTGTTATGTCTGTGGCATTATTCATGTCTATAAGTGACGGTTACCACTTACCATCAGGTAGGCCGTCGGCTTGTTTGCCATTTTAAGTTGCACAAAAAATATAGAAGTGATCTAGACTTAGTAAAAAGTATTTTTAAAATACTTGAAAAAATTAAAGAAACTGGTTTTGTATGAACAGAGACAAAGTAGTTTAGTTTACTTCTTAAGATGTCGTGACGTTATAGATACAAGTTTTTGTCTTAAAAAGTTTAAACTAGAATCCACAACGGCGAATGAATAACATTAAGTAACGAATATTACATAATGCCCGGAAAATAGATGATTCGGTAAAATGTTCTGCTCAAATGCCATGAAAATTAATGTACGTTTCTTCTTTTTTCACTACCGGTAGCAAAAATTTTAGATTTTAAACTTTCTACGTAATGAAAATAAATAAAAAAATATTATAATTAAACCAGGATTTTTTCTACATTTTTATTCACTTTTATACAAATAATATTAATTGGTTTTAACTTATCTACCTCGAGAAAAAGCACTTTATATAAATCATAATAGGAATAGCTTAGTGTAAATCGCCTATTTAAATGTACTAGTCTGTAAATATTATGTCCTCTGTGCGCGACGTCTATTAAACGGAAGGGTATACAAAGCAAATTTTATTATTATTAGTGATAAGATGGGCTTTTAATAACTCTAGTGTTTATAAATTTCGTATGTAAAAATGTAATGCTTTCCATAGTAAAGTAGTAGAATTAAATCATGCAGAGCCAACAAAGACTAGCCAATATTTACGAGCTTTGCTTTATGCTTATGTTTTTACACACATACTTGAATCTAAAAGGTCACGTACAGTGCGGTTTCATTGGAATTTTCTCCCGCGAACACTTAGGCTGTGGTATGAGATCCCTGCCGAGGTTGTTCCTAGAGACTACAGTATGGGGTTTTTCAAAAAGGGCATATTAAGGTTTCCTTAGTTTTGGTAACGTGTATAGTGATTGTTTACGATTAGACGGGCTGTATGCTTGTTTGCTAATTTTGTGGTATAAAAAAACCTGCAAATGATATTATTCTCCTCGGTAAATATGTTACTAAGTAGGAAATTATTTGTCTTTTGAAAATGAAACTTTTAAAAAAGCCGCTGTATAACGAAAACATAAAATTAAAACTGACATTTTTCTTATCTGTTACGGTGTCTCTAAGCTGCAATTTTTTTTTACAACACAGGGGGACAAACGAGCATACGGCTCACCTCATGGTAAGTGACTACCGTCATCCAAGATCACCCACAACACTAACGGCATTGCAGGTGTGCTGCTGGCCTCTTAAAAGGGAATATGCTCTTTTCTTGAAGGTTATGTTGTCATATCGGTTCGGAAATACTGCTGCTGGAAGTTGATTCCAATTCATTAATTTTTTTTAAAGTTAACGTTTTAAAGTTGATTTATAATCTATTCTATTTATTGATATATTTGCAAATAGATTAATTTCTTACCTTGTTTTTATAAATTTAACTTTTCCAGTACTTATAGAAGCTTCGACAGTTAATTATTACTTTTAAGTTTTTGTTACTACTATTTTTACTGCATTATCAAATGATATTTTCGCTGTATGTAAACAAATAAAGAAGGAACAATTAAATGTAAATGTCGGATGGTATAATGTTTATTTTTATCTTCTTACAATTTACAATAATTTTAGCTTGGTAAATTGAATTCACCACTTTCGCTTACGTCGTTTATAACCTTCATTTGCATAGTTAAATAAACATTTAATAGTTTTATCGGCGATTAAAAGCAGAATTATCTCAGCGAGCCTCAGTGAACTATGGTTGTGAGACTTGTATTTAGTTTAATCTTTGAATTAACTACGTTTGGGTCGTTGGCTACGTAGCCGTATTGCGCAATAAACGTTTATCTAGTTCATGCCGTTAGTTTCATTTCATATGTACTTCTTAAGAATGAAATTTTTATATAAGATTTAATAGTATATATGTATATAATTGTATCCTAAATTTTATAACTTAAATGGTCTTTAATTTAGAACAAACAACGACGCTGACTTAATTTTCACTGCTACATCAGTGTTAATTCTCATATTGTACAGAAATACTTGTAGATACTCGTATAAAATTTATATTTAATGAAAAGGAAATAAGGTATTTAACCGTAAAATAACTTTGTAATTAGTTACAACACTTTTTACTGGATTTTTAAATAATTTGATTTAGTTAAAAATTAGATCATCATACAGTAAAATAGACGAAAGGAAGTATGTAAGAATTTAACTTTTTTTTACTATATTTTTATCCTAAAAATTATTTGTAATAACTTGCGTTTTATGGAATAACGACATAGTATTACTTTAATAGGTTAGCAATAAACTAGCCGATATCGTTTTCTTATACTTCGATCATTACAGGACATGGGACAACATTTGAAAATCCTGATACTTGACCACAATTGCCATGATCCAGAGATAGCAATATGTTATATCTTGATACTTATACCACTAAGTTTAGACTTTAATATATAAATTATTTACTTTTATTGAACAGAAGTTTGATTTGATATAACATATATTTTCTTGATAGTACTTTATTGGTATGGAAGGCTCAAATTCTTGTTTTTGAATGAAACGTTTAGAAAAGTTTCTTGACAGGGTTCTGATGGTTTCAAACGTATATTTTTATTCACAATCTGTATTTTTCAAACAACAGAATACATTAATACTGTTAAAATAAAATATCAGTGTTATGAAATTTTTTTAAGGACTAGACTACTTAAACCCTTTGTTAAGAACCTACCATTATTTATTACAACATTTTGGAACCGAACGAAACACGAATTAGAGGTTAAAAAAAATAAATGTCAAAATAATAAATAATTATAAATGTTATCGTTTTGGATTTTTATAGTAAGGTTTATGACGAATGAAACGTCAAATTGCCTGCATCTACAAGGCCCATTTCGGTATGAATTTGTTTTATTCTATGTATGAAATTGAAGTAAGAAATTTTGAAATTTCTTTTAATGGTAGATTTGCCGTTTATTGGAATAATTAGATTTGTTAACTTTACCATCACCGCTAAATTTCAACTTACAGTCACGACCGATGGGATCTTTTTGAGCTCATCTCTAAGCCACGACGCTTTTTATATTTATGATAATAAATAACAATAATTATATGTACACGATTTTACCTTCGAAGGTCTAGTCAAAAGTGAAACATACAACTATTATTGTCTAAATTTCGTATAATTATGAGTGGTGCGATAGTGCGGGTTTATAGATGGGAAAAATAATAACACATAATTTTTTTTATCAAATTATCTAAAGCTGAATTTAACTTTTTATATTAATCACGAAGTGATTGAATTAGTAAAATTAAAATGAATTTCGAATATGGTCCTTGGTGAAAGTTGTTAAATTTTTGTTAGTTACATCATTTAATTGTTTCATTAACCAATATTTTAAAATTATCAAATTTTTTTCAGGTGTTCGGGATAACGGGCGAAAGTGTGTCAAAATGCTAATAACTTTTGGGCCTAGGGCCCATAAACACGTGGAGAAGTAAGTTGAAAAATCCTATACTTTTTTACACTTATTTGTACCTATACATAGGTATAACTATTTATAAATTATACATGAATATTTTTACAATTTTTATATAATTTAAAACGGAAAACAGACAGTCTACTCGATTCTGAGACTTAGGATGTGATGTATTCGTACCCTGCTTAATGGCAAAAAGTCATGTCTAATAGAGGTATCTGGATTGTTTTTATTTATTTATCAAACGTATCTTAATATTTATATAAAAATCTCCGTAAATACATATCATCATCATCACTAATTATTTAAATTTTATAAATGTTTGTCTTAATTTGAAAAAGGATAGTTTTTATCATATGGACCCGGCAGGTAGCAGAAATGGAGTAAAAGCTAGTAAACTTGTGAAATAAGATTTATATACTCTAATACAATGATTTGTAGAGGACATTTAAAATTTGTGGCTATATTTATCTAGAAATTTAATTTTGTATATATTATGTAGGTGAAAGTTCAGTTGTATCAAATTGATAAACAACGATTCTAATGACTTCATAATTATTTAATGTAATTATTTAACGCCGCATACTGATGATGCTTATCGAATATTTATAAAATAAGTTACATAATATTTATTAAAAAAAATATTTACATTAAATATATTTTTTAGATCAGTTATATATTTTGTCTTATTATTTTAAGTTTTAATTAGTAAATAGTAGTAAACAGTAGTTTTAAAAAGTTTTAGTTAAATAACATTTACAGATTTCAAGCGATTTTTTTTAATATTATTTCAAAATTGAATTGCCTTTTTCAAGATGTTCTACTAGCTTGTATATATGTATATATTGTATACATATATACCTGATTACGTGAACGAAGTCGCGGGCAAAAGCTAGTAGGTCTATAAACACGAATTTACCTAAGATATCTACACTATGTACCCGTGCGAAGCCCGAACCGGTTGCTAGTAATAATATTATGAAAATACTGTAATAACGCTAGGAAGACATCTCATATATTTCGAATTAACCTGAGCTATTAATTCTCTCTGCTTACTTTATAAGAGATTTGATGTGAAGATAGATAAGTAAATAAGTATTTAAATTAAATTTTTATGTTTCTATTGTCTGTGTTGTTATTAGTTTTTAAAAGGCACGACTGATAATATTTTTTACAATAGATTTGAATAATTCCCAACCTGTGCTCGAGAAACAAGTATATACATATATTACCCACACAATTATTTGTTCCGCCTCAGGAATCGAACCGGAACCTATTCTTCTTGATATGTAAATTACTCCTCAGCTAACATAAATAATTGACTAAGTAACATTGTTTTATGTTTGAGTTAACGAGTATTTTAGTAAATAGGTAGATATGTATTCTTCTTTACATAATTAAGGTCACAAGTACGAGGAAAAATTTAAATACTCGTATTCTCTGTCTTTATGTAATAGGCGACAGAATGTATTGTACTAATTTTTACTTCTTTTAACATTAAAACCTGTGTAATAGAATAAAAGGGGATTATTTTCAATGTAAATTAGATAAATATACTTATTGCAATTTGAAAGTTATTATAGAATAAATAATAATTGAAGAAAAATACATCCAATAAATAAATAAATAACTAAATGTTAAATTTTGTGAAAATATTAGATGTTTATTATTCTATTCCAGTTAAATGGCTAGACGGAATTAAATTTAGTATACAGACAGTGGTCTGTCCATGTACCAAATTTGATTCAAATGGTAGTATATATACTTTTGTCCTAGATCATAGATTTTTAATAAAAGAAAAAAAAAAGAAATAGTTAAACATTGGTCTGAGTAATAACTTCAACTATTCGTAGTTCATTTTCAAGGCACTATACCTAATATATTTTTGCGTATTATCGATGTAACAGCCACTATTGGGATTTCTACACCTTAATTAGCACAATAGAAATCATATAAGTTGGCAAGTAATTGGATTACTGAATATTACACAAACATCAATTGGTACGGATAATTCGATACAGTTGCGTGTTCTATATGCAAGTGATGATTACTTAATTATTAAGCAGCTGAGCTAATATCATTAAAATTACTACACCAATTCAAATTTTATAAAATACCGTCATGAGAATGAACTATTGCTTAATACTTCAATTATATGTAAAAAAATGAATAGAAAAAAAACATTACATTTTCTACGACTGCCTAAATATAAGTATGCATTTGCCCATATTATACAAATTATCTTTTTTTGCGGATTGGTGTATATTATAAATGAAAAAGTTTTTGTAGTTTCTTGGACATCTGATATTTAATCGATTGAACGTAACTGAATGAATTTTTGTACTCATATGAACCATATTTTTGATTAACACATAGGATATTGTTATGGATGCAGACAAATCCGCAGTTTATATGTAGATAATTTTATTATATTTACGATGGTGTATTAAGTTTCCGACATCAGTACACATGAATGTACATATGTATGTACTATTTATAAACGGTCACGGATTTGTGCACAGTGCGGTAATAAGTATACGAGAATCGAGGCATTTGCAAGGATCCGTAGCCACAGCTTTTTTGCTTACTAGCACCGTTGCGTGTTATCGTCATGAATATGACGCGTAACCAATAACCATTGCCTGTTGTTAGTCGTTTATGTGGATGATTTGTTGTCTACCATTAAAAAGAAGTATAATTTAACATTTATTTAATAAGGAGCAGGTACCTCGAGTTTTATAAATTAATGAAAACTGCAAAGTAACAATCTGATGTAAAGTTGCATCGGTCATCTAGAGACATTAAAAACACAAGGGATATCATAAATTGTATTGTATCTAACACTCATATTTAAAGCGTTGAAAATACAGGTTCTGTTCTATTTATGCACTGTTCTGTTTTCGTTTTTCGTTTCGTTAAGCTAAGATAATTGCTGCCTTTTGTTTTAGTGATAGGCTCTATTTTACTATTTTGTCGGATACTTATCATCTATTACTACTTTATGAGAGTATATGTGTTTTAAAAAAATTGTCCTTCAATATATTTGGATAATTCTAATACTTTATGTATTAATTATTTTAAGTAGTCAGCACTAATTATAATAATTACTAATATAATGTACAAGGTGAATACTTCAAACGTAATATAAAATATAATTAAATGTACAAAATATTTTTTGCACAGCGATTTCACTTGAATATAATTATTCCGCTAGCTGCAGCACATTTCAACTACTCATACCTTTTTACTTTTTATAATCAGTTGAGCAAAAAATATAGTGTGTCATCTTTTAGCACCTTTACTTATTTAGATCTATGAGAGTAAACTAATACTTTCTAACGTATATAAGGATTTTTTTTTTAATTTATATATTCTCACAAAAGTTAATAATGTTTATATCAATATATTGAGAATTCATATTAAAATTAACTTGAATACTATTTGTTTTTTTGATATTCAGAATAAATATAGAATTAATATATTTCTCATGTCAAAAGATATTCACGGTTAACCGTGGTTAATGTATGATTTCATTCAAATTTAACTCCCATAATTAATTCACATTTACGAATAATCTACTCGTTTTTATGTATATTTTCATAATATAATAATAAATATGAATTTTGTTGGAATCTTACGGCTATATTCTTAAAAGTTAAGTAACATCATGCGTTAATTAAAGGTTTATTTAATAGATACGTAATATAATTGTGTAATTATAGAAGGTCTATTTGATTGATGGATTAGTAGAGAATTCTATGTTATGAGATGTTTGAAATTCCCTAATCTTTAAAATGATACTCATATAATGCTGTTTAATATATATAACAGGTAGTGGATAAGTATATTAATTTCCACATTTATGAAACGAGTATAGAACGGTTATATTTCGTTGGATTTTTCCCAGTAGTTAATACTCCTGCTTGACTATCTTGGTTAACAGCAATGATTATGTGTACATGTTAACACTATCTAGGTATATATGACGACCTCTATGACGCAGTGGTAAGCATGTTGCATTACGTAAATGAAGTTCCGAGGTCGATTCTCGCTCAGGCAAACTTAGGAAACTTTTTAAAGTTGGTTCGGGTTTGGATGTTCTAGGTGTGTCTTAGTTTGAGAACCAGGCAATTGATGTGATTATGTGGCACTTATTATTACTGTACTGTATTATTACTAGCTTTTATCCGCGACTTTATTCTCGCGACCGGGAATATTCAATGACAGGGATAAAAAATAAACACTTTCTCCTTTCGGGTTTTTAAGGGTGACTGGAAATCCTTTTGGGATAAGTCCGCCTGTGTACATTTTTGCTATAACCTAATATCTATATTAATGAATTTACAAAAGCATATAAATGAAAAAAAAATAGTCTATATTTTTCCCATCCCATATTATATATCAGATTTCATAATAATTAACTAATTATTTTGAAATCTGATATAGCCTAGTAATTAGCCGTTAAAATGCTAAGAGCTGATAAACATATATAATATTAGTAAGGATTATTATCTAATGAGTTTATATTCGTATTTCTAGATGGTGACATGCGATAACGATAGCACGGCGTGTGGCGGGTTCCACCTGGGCGCACGCGACGATGAGCCGCGTCGCTCCCGCGCGCCTAGCGTCTCCTCACTGTCCCTCTATAAGCAGAAGATCGACGCGCTTTTCGACGACAGCCGGTCGGTTGTCAGTCTACCGCATTATGGGCTTCATTTGACAGCGGAAGAGTTGGGAAGGAGAGATAGTAAGGTAATAATTGAACTCGTATTTATTTTGGAGTAGTTTTTATCTGTGACTTCGTCCACATGACTGGTATATGTTAATTGATTGGAAAGAAAAATAGCTTATATCCTTTTATCTTTTGCATGTTTATGTAGTAATTTTCATGTTGATTGGTTGAGCCGTTAAAGCGCTTAGGGTAACAAACAAAGTAATTTTTTTGCGTGCTGAGCTTGCAAGGTACTTTTAAAATTGATTTACATTACATGATTCTAATCATGTAATGGATTAATTTTAAAAGTGTTGGATCAAGCACAAGTTACTATTATTTCCGTAGAAAAAAAAATACGGTTGATAGGATTAGATAGGCAGAATAATTTCAGACATAAATGTCTTGTCTTTTTTTTACAGTATTATAACTGTAGTTATTGAAACATTATATTTTTATATGACAAAAGAGTACCACGGTTAACGAGTACGTATAGTCTATAATATAATCTCTTAATATTTATATTATCGTTTGTTGTATATCAGGTGAATTTTTTAAATACTATATAGATGAATCGCACCATTTACCATTTAGACTTAATTACTTTTATTATTATGATAAACAAAAGTATTTTATGTGTATTACAGGTCAGTTCAACACATGAAAGTAAAGCGACGATTTATGAAGATGATGACGATTACTGTCAGAATAAAATCAACAAAATCAACAACACGGTGCAAGAACGTATAGAGAGGATGTTTGCAGAAATGGCGGGGGAGTCCAGGCAGTCCACTGAGAATATTGGAGTCCATATATTTAGTGTCCATTACCTTGGCTCGACCCCCCTCCAAAGTAAAGTCACCAGCCTGGCGGGACTCCAAACTCCACTGAAAGATTTGTACTTTGCGTACAGAAGAAATTTTCGACAAAAAAGTACTTTAACAGGCCGATTGGAAATATCTAAAAGTGGCCTCAAAGTTAGATACAAAGGTGAAAAGGGCGATTTAGAACAATTGAATCCCTTTCCAACAATAGCCGTTTGGTCAGCCGTAAAATTTGTTGTTCAGCCTTCAGAAACGGATAACTGTGAACTGAGTTACGCATTCTTACCATTAATAACAGATCCTGATAATATTGATAAACCTGCCTTATTTAAAACGTTAGATTTATCTGACAAAAAATACATCCTCTCCCACAACGAAAATTCACATTCACCACTTTTCGCTGTTGTGATGAGGAAAATCGGCGTCGCTAAGCAACTGGAGTGTCATGGGTTTGTATGTCAAACGACGGAAGACGCTATCGTAATAGCGGCTACCCTATACAAGTCCCTGATGTCACACATGAGTCGGCAGGGCCACAATGATAAAAAGAAATTAAAGAATCGAAATGGAGTAAGCTGCATGAGTGTAGCGAGTAGTTTATCACCGAACGACATCCCTGTCAGACCACCTCGCAAAAAACGAAGTACGTCATCGCTAAGTGGAGACAGTGATAGGGCAGACGGGTTCTCTGCTAGTGAATCTTTTAACGAGAAACCTAAATTAGAGAGGATTAAGAAAATATCAACGGAAAGTATGCCCCATCTTCCACCACCTTCATCTGTCCCTCCTATAGAAACGAAACGAATTACGGTTGAAGAAGTAAAAGCTAAATTAGATTCCATAAAACATAACGATACCAGCGGTAGCGATACTCAGGGGTCAAAAAAATCTGTGGGGAAACGGTCTCTGAATCCTAATATCAGTAAAATTCAAAATCTTCATAAAGCTCAAAATAGTAATGGATCTTCAATCCGAAGTAAGGTTTCAGAGAAAATAGAACTTTTTAGAGAATTAGAAAGACGGAAAAATATTCAAAGACCACCGACTGTGCCTCCCCCTGTGCCTTCTAAGCCTCCTTTAGAGACACCGCCAGACCCGCCAAAAGAACCACTGAGAAGAAGTCAGAGCGGAAGAAAATCACTAAATGAATCTGGTGACATATTAACTAAAGTAGCTATACCACGATCTGGGAGTTTTCTCAATGCTGGAGGACTCACCAGGTACAAGTCAATTGGTCATAGGTATGTCTCATTGTCATTTTAAATCGCTATGTATTATACAGTATTATGTAGTGTGTTCCTAGTAATTTCACATATACGCATGAACGACGTTATTTCCTTTCTAACTACAGTCCGGACACTGACATCTCGTTTATAATTTGCTTTGATTACTCCTTTGATCTACTTGCTTTAACAAACTATATATCTTACTAACGGGAGATGAATAAAATGCGCGTTTAGTGGAGTGTTTCGCCAACTTGCATGTTGATAATTGTGTTAATGCAACCGCATCCGCTACATTCTTTTGATCTGGTATTAACACCTATGTTATTTTCTAATCAGTCATTGGCATTATGAATCTAGACAACATAAATATAACTTCGTCAATTAAATATATTACTAAATATTATATAATATCTATACCCTTATATACTTTTCAGGAATAATGGAAAAAAGGGAGGTGGCTCACCTTTAGGGTTCAACGAACTTTTCAATGAATTTAAAGTTCAGGAGAACTTGCATTCGATGGATGAAATTCTTAATGCCATAATAGACGCAGAAGGAATGTCCTTCAACGATTTAAAACCAATATACAAAGAGTTTCTTTTGAAGTTAGCTGTAACACTGACAAAAGATGAAATATTCCAGCATAGTAAAGCTATCATGAAGAAACAAAAGAAAAAAATTTTACGAAGAAATAGTTTATTCCAAAATAAAAGAAGGAAAATGTTTAAAGGAGCCAATGGTTTACGAATGGTATTCCGTATGCCATTTGGGAAAGATATGAGAAAAAAAGAAAAACAGCAGTCACCTCTTGATTCATTAGGTTACGAAATTGCTAATACTAAAGAGCCCATCTCAGAAAGCTCGGTGTCTACTTCTAGTTATGACTTGAGGCAGTTTCGGCCCAAGGAATCGGTTTTGCCGCCACCAAAGAGACAAGCTATAAGACAACGTACGTCTAAGCGATCTGAAAAAATGGTTCATGTATCCAAACGAAATGGAAAAGTTTCAAGGCCAGGAGAGAGAACTTCCACATCTGAGGATTCTGATTTTTTAACATTAAGCAATCGCCTAGGATGCCAAAATCGAAACAGTTCAAGCGGCTATGTGTCATGTTCCGAATGTGAATCGGAAAGTTGTGTAGACCGCTGTTATTGTTCGTTAAAAGGTGATTGTCAAGATAAATGCTACTGCTCAGCTGCAGATATTAAAAGAGAACCTTCAAAATCTAAACTATTAAGTAAAAGTTGTAAGGATTGCTTAAGGTATGTATTTTTAGAGAATTTGTGACAAATTAACATAAAAATCTAAGTAGGTGTTTTCAATTATTTTATTTTATTTATTTATATTTAACTAGAGTGAGATAACATGTAAATTAGAGGAAATTAAATCAGTAAATTAAATAATAAAAGAAAATAAGTACTAATTTTCATGTTTTATATACTACATAAATGCTGCAAAACTACATAATGTTCATTAAATTACCAAAATTTCTATACTTTCGTTCATCTTCTTCTATATTTCATTTAGCTCTATTAGAAGCGCATCTCTGTGAAGTGACTGTTGCTTTAATTACATTACATGCATGGAATTGTCGCCATTACCGTTAAAGGAATTCGTACCTTGTTTGTTGTTATTTATGGTTCATTATAAATAATATGTGTTGGCTGTAGAAATGAAATGTGTACGGTACCAATCAGAGCATGACGCGTCCGCAGCTTGCGACGCCTTATGAGTAACTGAACCGAATTATAATTATTTACTGTTGAATATGAATTTGTAATTTCATAAGGATATCTCCTTGTTTTTTATTTTAAAATTATTACAGTTTCTGAAACTGTAAAATATCACATTATTTTATATATAGATATAAAATAATGTGATATTTTACAGTTTATATTAATTGATTAAAAAATTGCTTAAATGTAGTAAAGTATATTTTTTTTTACTAAAAAACATTATCTTATTAAAAAACATAAAAACTGAAAGTAGTTCAATTTTGAGAAATTAAATATGAAGTCTTATAACAGGAATTATGAATAAGTTATGTTCTCTTCTTTTTCAGGGAGATGTACGATGGAGACCTTAGCTATTGTTCATGCGATTCTGAGAGTTGTGCGGATAGTAACAAGTGCTACTGCGTAGGTCCGAGGCGCACTGTAATGCAGAGTTCACAAAGTCTAGAGTATCTGCGTAGCCCATCGCAGAAGACATACTCTGATAGGTTGAAACGCGCATTTGACGATTATGACGGAACTAAGGGTAGCCGAAATAGGTAATTTTTTTTATTCTGTAGTCCTATATATTAATAATACACATTAATTAAAATACACTGTATCGTTATATTTATTCATCTTGCTTATTTCCTATATTATAAAAGGCAAATAAAGTATACTAATTCATTCGTTCATACACTGTAGTGGTAAAATTTTTGCAAGATGCGTAACAGCATAATGAAATAAATGCTTAGTTCCTATTAAAAATTTCTTTACTTGCATTTCTTCAAAGCTTATCCAGCTAATTAATATTATTTTTTTCCGAACATTCCTTGCTATTGTCATATAATTAATATCACACTTATATATATATAATTGGCCAACTAGTTGATGGCCCATCTAATGGAAAGTGGTAACCGTGACCTATAGACATGAACAGCACTATATATATTCATGTAAGCGAAGCTGTGAGTTACAATTAGTTTTATTCATGAGTCATTAGTTGAATTTGACCTTTCAGATCTAGCGGTGGTATGTCGCGCGCGCGGCGTGAGAGTCGCGAAGGGCGCGAAGAGCGAACTCGGCGCGCGCGCAGCTCCGACAGCCTGGCGCTCGACTACGAGCTGCTGCTGCAGAACAAGGCACGCGACACGCGCAGCCGCAACATGCAGCGGCTCACCGGTACGCTCTATTCACTACGAGCCATTGTCAAGACGCAACACAAGCTCGGAGATCTGAACAGAGACAGTCCTCTGCTTCTTTTTTGAGTTTTGCCTCCAATAGATACAACATCGATGATTTCATCAGTATATACAATTAAATCAAACACTTGGCACTCGAGTTAGTAATGATGCTTATCAACGATCATTTGGAGGCGTAACTCAGTTATCCAGTTATTATTAATGCTAGCTAATTTGAAAAAAAAAAGAACAATGAAGAATCGAACTTGGGACCTCAGTTACATTATCATCATCATTTCAGCCAATATCTGTCCATTGCTGGACATAGGCCTTCCCCACAAGGAATGGTCCTGAATCACCTGCATCTACTGACTCCCTGCATTGTATTTGAGATCGTCACTCCATCTAATAGGGGGGTCGTCCTACACTGTGTTTGCCCGTACAGTTGACCTCAGTTACATGCAGGATGAAATCTTAATCATTAGCTTCCTTTTAAGGAACACTTCTATTAGTGAAACTTAACATATTGCTCAAAGAAACATAGCCACTGGCTACTGTGCGTTACTAAAAACTTTGGGCCCACTGACTTGACATATTCTCATTTATTTACCAGTATCATGTCAACGTAAACTAGCACAGGAGTGAATGGGTTTCTTAAAAAAGGTTACCTATATTAGTTTTTTTTAGAGTTACAACACGCACGTGTTACCACGTACCATCAGACGGATTGTGAGCTCGTTTACTATCTTTGTAGTGTAAAAAAACTTTCATATCACTAATCTTTAATAAATTATTTATTTGTTTAGGTATATCAACAATACACATACAACATTGACACATATTAAATTTACAATAAAATACAATTATAGATACGCGCATAATCTAAATTTATGTTCTTTTGCTTAGTGAGGAGCACAGGCGCCGGCTCCCACGACGCCCTGAGCGTGAAGAAGTCCGCCGAGATGGCAGCCCTGTTCGCGGACGTGCGCCTGTCGCAGCGGACGGACGTGCGCTCGCTGGCGGCGGGCGCGCGCCGCCGGCCGTTGCCCCCGCCGCCGGCGCCGCCGCTCGCCAGGATGTTCGACCACCGCCCGCTCAGCAGGAACGCTAGTCTCGAAGATACCTTGGGGTATCTACCTTGATAACGCATAGGTGAGCTTTTAACTCTCTCACACACTATCTTACCACAAAAAAAGTTAAAATTGTTTTAGACAGGTGTTCAATACCTGTTTACATGTCCTACTCCAAAAGCTTGTTTATGTCTAAACACCAAAACGTATTATTAAAAATAAAATTTAATATATAAAGTAATAAATTTTATTACAATAATTTATAGTGATTTTAACACATACAATTACAAATAAACGTTATTATTATTACATCCACTAAACAATATTTAATACAGAGTTTTGTTAAACTCTGTTCAAATAAACAGTGTTTTAATTTTTTTTGTGGTAAGACCATAAACGGATTTCGTATGATTGAAATAAGAAAAGTGATAGCGATTCATGTGTATAACGCAATGTAGGTAATTTTCATTGTTTTATGTATGTGATTCATTAGAACACGATAAGAGAAAAGTCCGTCGTCTACGCATACCCTTAAGTTTACTATTCTAAAAGCAATAAAAGTTATAACATGTCATCGAAACAAATTTGTATTGGTATGTATCTATGAAATTATGTTGAATATGTTTTGAATTAAAATTTACTCATATGAGTTTAGTCCAGACACCTACTTTTTTATAAAACAGTAAACATTAGGTTTGTGACGAGCTTAAAAACCTAATGTTAATTCGTAACATAATTATGCGCTTTATTCAAAAAAGTGAAGACCACTATTTTCATCTTACCTATTTACTTGTATTTTTATTTGTCATTTTATAGAATTACCCTTCAGTACACTATAAAGATTGCATATGAATTCATTGCAATTAATATTGGATGCATTAAGTTCCATTCAAAATATCTTTTGGATATTTATGTAAATTTATAAGTATAATCTTCAATATTTTTTCATTTTTATTGGAGCTTTACCGCTGTTATCAAATCGAACAAAAAAAATCAATTAAATACCATTAAAGCGTATGGTATATTAGTTCAATAACAATAAATACAATTGGAATACTCATAGAAAATGACCAATAAACAATACATTACATTTTTTTATAACTTCACATACATACATACATTATTAATATCGTAGTATGTTTGGTTATAGACGTATACCACCTTATTAATAAAAAATAAGGATTTTAAGTATATCGATTATTTGTAAGTAGATATAAACTATGTATGTAGTTATTTATTGACGAAAATAACATTTATTATACATAGGTGCAATATATTGAGTCACATACCTATAGTTACTTCTAGTTTATTTTTACTTTACTCAGATTAATACTTGTTAGCGCATTTAATACTATGAAACGATGTTTTATTTAAAATGTGTTATTAATTTATGACCTAAATAATTAATTTTAATAAATTGTTTAATTTTGTAAATTTAATTCTAAAATATTAGGTATTTGTGGCGGCGTTTTATTTTATTGTAGGCTTGTATTTTGCGTATTATTAGTAACAGCAGTACCAAAAGTATTTTACTAATTTTCTGTAATATAGCGAGTCTGAAATGTACGCTTCAATGTAGCGTTAAATTTGGACCGAGCTCTACATGTAAAAAAGTGCTTAAATTATATTAATATATTAAATATATTAGACAATTAGTTTGATAATTATATGTTTATATAATAATTAATTATTTTACCGTTTATTGTTGTTTTTTTGGCGGTATATGTTACGTAGATAAGTATGTACGTACTTTTTATCGTACGCCTTATAAAATTAAATAGCAAAGAATCACTTATGCGTTTTTAAATAAGGTAAGGCACCAATATCACCAACATCTTCAAGTGACTTGTTTAAATTTCTTATTACTAATATTCTTTTATAAATCAATTTATACCCAAGATTTAGTAACAAGAAGAATTCATTGTTTAATTAAATAATAATTGTGACAAAATAGGACTTACATTTGCTACAACTATGTAGCAAATGTTGTACAAAAACTATTTTGTACAACATAATACAATTAAAATAATTGAAGTAACAGAAAGGTGATAAATTTTGTATTATATTTTTTAACAATTATTAATTCAAATATTTTTACAAAAATAGTAATAACTAAAACAAAATGGTATGAATTATATTTCTTAATGCTTGGTATTTGGAAGTGAAATTGGTGCTTTGTTCAAACATCGTTTCATAGTTACAACTATTATTTTAGCTAAGCAACTAATAATAAGCCTAGCGTATACTTTGCATTTCATTGATCTTACACTGAACTGTGCAATTATTGTGTGCAATATTTACATAATTACTAACATCCTAATGTTAGTTGATTAGCCAAGTGCAATATTATATCTGTTGTAAATATACCTCTATTTTTATTTGACAAATAAATCCTTTTAATAAAAGTTGTTTATTGAATTATTTTATGATTAATGTCTATACAAATATACCTAATAAAGCGGAACAGTATTTGTTTGATAGTCAGAATCAGCTTTTAGTTGGCCTTGAAAAATTTTGGTGCGTTTGATAGCTCATTTTTTGAGGAATAGTTATTAGTGAAGATCACAGGTGAAGCCGAGGGGTACAGCTAGTTTAATATAAATGCTAGCTTAATCCAAGAGTGATAGATACTCAGTAGGGAAAAGTCTGACTGCGGTTCGGGGATCTCAAAATTAAATTCCAGTTTAAATCTCATTCATCAATTATAAATAACAGTTACTTGTTTCGTGCTTCAGAGTAAAGCTGTCATCCGGTAAGCTATGCCAGAAACCTTCGAGCATAATGAAATTTTTGAAACCAGAGAGTAAAACTTTTGCATGGTACTTTCCTTTTAAAATAATAAAAAAATTATATAGTTTGATGGATGAATGAAAGAATGGGTATCTTACTTTTCACGAAAAAATTACTGAACGGATGTGAATCAAATTTGATAAACAGGTAGGTTACATTCTAAGCTTTCACGCGGACGAAGTCGCGGGTTACAGCTAGTATAATATATAATCACCTGAAAAATGCCTTTAGCTCTTGTACCTATGTAACTATGACCTATAGACTTGAATAGCACCACGAACATAGCAGAATACTCTGTGATATTTCTGGCATCCCTCATGCGTTCTGCTGCGATTCCTGAGGACTAAGATCTTAGACGTTTATAGATAGCTAATAATAACGTGTTACATTTGACCTTTAAGTATGTAAGAGAGAATTATCCAATTTTTTCGTATAAAAATGATACTTTCCGCGAAGAACGTATGAGAAGAAAATACCTGTCATTTTTGTGAAAGTGGGCTTAAACTTATTTTTATACAAAACTTATAACATATAAGAATTTTATAGCATTGATAAATTTAAAATATTACTCTAGATTTCATTTTTAACTAAGTTTTAATAGCTTATATTTTAATAGTCTATATTTAAATGTCAAAATTGTTCTATCAGTTTATCTCACTATCCGACTATCCCACTATATAGCTCGGTATGCTTTGTTTCAATAGAAATTAATGAAAATGTAAATAAATGAATAATGAACCCAATTATAAAGACAGTCTGCTAAAGTCTAATACTAGTACAAATAAAAATCGGTTATTTCATTGAATGCTTCGAGTTTATAGTAATTTCATTTACAGAATATTTATAGAGAAGATAATTTCAATAAAACTTTGTTTTATTTGTAATTATCTTCTCTTTTATATTTTATTGAAACAAATTCCAAGTCTAATAAATGTTAAGTAGTATATGAAAATAATAGGTCTAGTAGCTCGAATACGATAGTCCCACATATCAAAATGTAAGGAGGAGTTTAGCGATTTATTATGTATTATAATTATTTATATTTGTTTATTATCATTGACGAAACAGTATATTCTGTTATCTCCATGATAATTTTCATCTATAGGCACCGGTTACCACTTTCCATCAGCTTGTTTACCATTCTAAGTTGCATAAAAAATAAAAGGTTTTATTTTTTACCTAAATGTAATTATCAACTTACCTTTTTCAAACAGGACGTTATGGAGTAATTCTAAGCTAATTACAAAACTTATAAACATTTCAAGTCTAAGTTATTCGAATATGTGCACCTAGCACATGTAGGGCGCACAGTCAGGTATGTCAGGACGCAGTATTGCTACATATTTTTACCTAATAAGACTATTTTAGATTCCGTTGGTTCTTTAGCAAAAACTTGGCACGAATGCAGCTATGATTGAAATTGGAAATGATGTAATCCGTTGCTTATGTCCTTTTACTGCGTAACCATATTTAACTATAACTATCTTTAATGCGCTATTAAAATCAAGGAGAAAAATACGTGTGATGTATTTCAATAAAACTTAATGACAAGGTAATAAATTTTTGTCAAAATTATCATAGAAACATTGTTTAAATAAAATTAGTTAGATATATCGAAACATTTAGCAATAGATTTGTTATTGGTATTACTATTTAATTGGACATTAGCAGTCTGTCTTATGGCCGAGTTAAGTATTTGTTTGTTTATATTATCATTAATTAATGTAAAAATTATTATGTATACCTATTTGAAAACATTTACTATTGTAACTTTTTTTTTTGGCGTCTCAAGTTATATTCATTGATATTTTAATGTTCGAAGCAATGAGATTTACGAGCATTGACGTATTTAATGTTATTTTTAGGGGACCTGGCTCCTTATAAAAGGTAAATATACTTTTTGGTATGTTTTTTCTATAACCACCAAGGTAAGCACCAGACAATTCTAGGACGGCCACGGCTACCCCTCCCCCCTTAACACGCCTAATATTACGAGTATCATGTCTGTGTGATAAAAATCCACAAAATAAACAAGATAGAAATTCACATATTTCAGATTTAGAACACCATCAATGTTCGCTAGGCATGGGAAAAAATTGCTTAAGTACATCTTGTATGAGTAAGTATAAACATTCACATAGTTCAGTACCAGGCATGTCCCACGGTGTCATCGTCTTCTTAATTGCTCTGTACATTTGTTGACTTAAAAAAATTGATTTCATTAAGGTTTTATCTAGATTACTACAGACTATGGGTTCATGGACAGACAAAAATCTATTGTATATGCATATAATAAAATAAATTATTAATAATTAATTTAATTATTAATTCATTAATTGTAGAATAGGTCGTATAAAAAATTATAACAAAAACTTTTGTATATATATCGAATTCCAAAGTTTCAATGATATTTATTGACACAAAAAAGAAATATTTTGAAATATAGTTCGATAGCGCATTAAAATCATTGTATTAATTAATAAATACATGTATTTCATATAAAATCCTAAGAGTTTACTTATTTACTTTAATATGAAATTAATATGTTTTGAAATGAAAACAAAATTTCGTAAATATTTAATTATTTTATTTCTATATTACAAATATCGACAGTACATCGTATGAATTCAAATGAATTGATGTCACTGGTGCTACATAATTTAATATCTATTTCTAGTACAATTAGTTATAAAAAAAATAGGTACAACAAATATATTATTATTAGTTATATATTTTATAATCTCGTTGTAATATTTTCTCAAAGTAACATGTAAATAAAGGGAACACAACAGGAAGTTAGAACAGCCACTTTGTACGTGTCATAATACGATTCATTAGTTCAAGTTGCCAAAAAAACTGCAAGTACCTTTCATTTTGCATCTTCAGCGTGGGATGTCTATTAAACTCGGGCGGGTAATTTGAAATGTTTATGGGTCTATACACTGCGACTCTTTTAACTTCTAAGGAGACCGCACCTACGTAAAACAAAGTTAATATTGGTTGTCAAAATCTTTGTACAAATCCAAAGAACATAATTAATAATTAATTTCGTTGTGATAAACATTCATTAAAACATAGACTAGCAACAAGTAGTTACAATGGTTTATTAAATTGAATTGAAATTAGGTAAGTATTGTGTAAAAAAATACACTTGTTTTGTTACAATTTGGATACTTGGAACATTATTCGTTACTTTATTTGAATTAATATGAAATTTTTATTTCTATTTAATAAAGAAAGAAAATATTTTGGTAATTATTTTCAAATAATATTTAGTTTTAGATTTATTTTTATTCGCAATTTATCCAATTATTCACACAATAGAAGTAAGACAAATTTATGATCTTCCCATATAATATATATAGGTACATTTGTTATAATTTATTTAAATGTAAATTTAAGAGCATATTTTTATTTATTATCAACAATCGCATTTCGAAAATATATAAAAATAACAATGAATACGTACATCTAATCAAAATTAATCATATGTTCTACAAATATAACATTTGTGAAGGTACTGTTTGGGATATAATTTATATTTACAATAATAATATTCAGATACTTAATAACGGCTCAATTGAGTATTTATAGTATAAATACATTTAATTGCTATCGGATAGGCACTTACAATGTTATAAATGACTATAATATCTAATACTGAATACACGTTTGTGTATTCTAATGTCGTCACGTCAAATATAATACACGAAGTATAATGTAATAAACTCTGTCATTCTGTGCAGTTTTATATTTTCAGATTTGCGTATAAATCAGTCAGCATGTTTATTTCGATCTTACCTACATAGACTGGTAATTTTAAATAAGTTTTCAATCCTGTCTGTCAAAGAAGAAACAATAAAGAACAAATGTAACGTGTAACACTATAATATACTTTTTTTTCTATATTTTTTACTAAATGTGTAATGTTTTATTATTCAAATTATTAAGTGTTTGATTTAAAAAATAAAACTGAACTGTTTACGCTATATAAGGATCGACTGCATTTTATGATATACTGCAGGTATTACAAACTTATTTCATTTAAGAAATTCGTCTTTAATATCCAGCTAGGTTGGTTAAAACTCTATTATGGCATTTTATTCAATAAGGTCTGACTGTACCGAGGCGACCTCTAGGAATAGGCTCCGCGTAACTGTGTCGGAATTTAGCAGGTTGCCTGTCTGCTAGTTCGCGGAAGTCCCGGTAGTCTCTGTCATAATATCTATCTCTATCCCCTTCCGCGTACGACTGACGCTGGTCATCAAGTAATCGTGAACGACTGAAAGCTCTCTGCCTGTCATTCCAATTCCTCCTCCTGTCCTCTATAACAGGCTCAATAATTTCATCTTCATCTATACGCCGATCTAATTCTTTTCTCTCTCTGTATCTATCGAAATCATCCCTATGAGGTTTAGGCTCAATCCTATTAAGGTAATCCTCCGTGCCGTACTCGTATCGTTTCAAATCATCACGTTTCCTCCCAACCCGTGGAAGCCTCTCTATTTCCCTGTGAGCCAAATCTCTTGTATCTAGGTCACGAATCCTGTCCGAATCCTTGCGTCTTTCTGGCTCCCTATGAGAACGCTCTATATCTCTATGAGAACGTTCAGGTTCTCTCCGGGAGCTCAGTTCTCTGTGACGCTCCTGTCGCTCGTCTCTTCTTTCTTCCTCCGGGGAAGAAGTAGAGCGACTATTCCTTTCTAACATACTTCTTCTAATGGCCATATGTTGTTCAAGTTCTCTGTTAAATCTTTCTCTTTCCAAATTCATGAATTTCTCCTTTGCGACGTTGAATCGATCTTTGGGGGAGGCTTCAGCTAATTTCAAGCTTCCTTCACTAGCTCCTCTTTGAAGTTTTCCAAATCGACGGTCCTCAACTCTATCTATGCTTCTGTTGGACGGTTTAGTGTCTGCAATGTACCTCCTTCTATAACTTGGTGTATCGTCATTAAATTTATCCGTTTTGTCTTTGTTGATACGTTCAAGGGATTCATGGCGATTGTTGACACGTTCAAGGGATTCATGGCGGAATCTACGTTCGAATGTTGCTTGATCACGGAAGGGGGCTAGCTGGTCACGAAATTGTTCATTGTAGTCATCGTTGTAGACAGGCGCCCTATCGTAGCTATGGGGGGATAGGGCTCGGCGTCCTGGAGAAGTACGTCTAGGTGAAACCGCGCGACGAGGTGGAGATGCTTCAAACGCTTCATGCATCATATAGGCTGTGCTCTCAGCCCAGTCTTCCTCTGCAATTAAAAAAAAAACATATTAATACAATGTATGTATTTGAACCATACCGATTTGTTTATTGAGGTTATTGCTTATATGGAAAATATTTTATTATAGCATTTTGTGCTCTGTTAGCCCAGTTTAGCATCGTAATTTTATGCATGGCACTTCGCAAACATTCCTTTCGACTTGACCTATTGTCACTAAAACAACTTTACTCTTTTACACGAATAACGGGATTCTATCTCATCTCTGAAACGCCTTTTGGTAAACTTGTTTCTAAATACAAATTGACACAGTAAAGAACCTGTCTCGCTCCCACGTGCTGCCACTTGATTTTATCTACAGAGATCATGCTAAAAGCGCGCGTTTTTAATTGTATGGGATTTAGGTAAGGCGTACATGAAGTTTCGTTTTATTGTTGTGGCGTGTTGATCTAGTTCCCTTTGAACACTATAGTAGTGATAACAATAAAATTTATTGCGTTTCTGCTTTCTTCTACTCGCATTTTTGTTTCTAGTTTCTAATATCTACTGTGAGTGCATTTTAACTGATAGTATCAAGCGCTAAAACATTTGTATTTGGGAAAGAGAGATTTTACGGCGCTTATTAAATTTATAACTATTTATTAATATTCTTTAGCTTATTAATTTATATTTTAATTATAGAAGTTTACTTTCCAAAAATGCTTAATATTCGTATTACCAATTAGATTGCAGTTTTTAATCGACTTCAATAAGAAGGAGATTTTCAATTCGGTTGTATTTTTTCTGTCTGTTATCTCATAACTCCGTCAGTTCTAAACTGATTTGGAAAATTATTTTTTTAGCTGAAAGAATATACTTACAGATTGGTTCCACATAAATTTTATTAAAATCGGTTTAATATTTAACTTTTAGATCAAAATATCTGGTTTTGTCACAATTGAAGTCGGGTTTTTTTTTGTGGGTATCTTTAATTATTTACGTTAATACATTTTGATAAAACATTTTTTCTTCGAATAAGTGTTGGCCATACAAATTTTGTCAGTACTCTTGTGCAATATAATTTTAAATTATAATTCGTTTCATATATTCTTGGTTTTCTTTATTATATGCATATAAATGCGCACCCCATCTATTTAATCACAAAAGAATAGTGTAGGTATTCCTCACTACCTTCTCAATTATAACAAAAAAAATGGTATCAAGATAAATGCAGACTTTACTAGTTCATGTTAGGTAACGTTCGATTGTGATTGTAATACATAGATAATTTTCTACTTATCATTTCATCACAAATGTTTGCAAATAACCAATACTAATGTATTATCATGGTCATTTTGTCACTATTCGTGTTGCTAAACCAGAATATATTCTCACCAAACTCAACAACACTTCAACATTTGTTATTCTTTACAGGTATTTAACAGATTTATTAAACAATTTAAATGAGGCGAAGTAGATGTATATGAATAATATCTTTTTAGTATGCATAGTAAGTTAATGAAAGGCAGTATCCTAATATTCTTATCTTTATAATGTCAAAAATATAAAAATAGAGTTAGTTTGTTTAGTATGTCAACGACTTTACGAATAATCATAAAAATTGGCGTAGTACTTATTTGGCATAAGACAATGACTAGTCTACTAATACTTAGTTATTTAATAACACTTGAAAACTTTTATTGGCATGCTACAATTAGATGCCATAAACAAACAGAAAATAAATACGTATCTACCTAACCACTTACAAAGTGTATTTAGCAAATTGACAGGTACTTGACAAAATATTTATCATAGTCATTTTGTATTAAACCAGAATATATTACAAAACTCAACAACACTTCAACTATAAAATTATAAAATTTAAATTTTTAAATATCTTTTTAGTATGCATAGTAAGTTAATGAAAGGCTTTTCCTAATATTTTATCTTTATAATGTCAAAAATATAAAAATAGAGTTATATAGTATGTTAAGGACTTTACGAATAATCATAAAAATTGGCGTAGTACTTATTTCATAAGACAATGACGACTAATACTTAGTTATTTAATAACACTTGAAAACTTTTATTGGCATGCTACAATTATGCCATCAAGAAAATAAATCGATGTAACCACTTACAAAGTATTTAATTGGTGACAAAATATTTTGATTAAATTATAAAATGTATTCATTTTTAAATATACTTTTATATATATATATATATGTATTTAAGCACGTCACCTATTCGGTCGACGATTAATGCAATCCCAACTAACACTTTAAATTATTCAAGTTCGATGTATTAGTATAATTGGTGTTTTGAATGTGTTAAAAAGACAGAAAACATGTTGCTGAAGTGGTAATATCATTACACAATAGATCGTTACAATCGTAATGCATTCAATGTTCTGTAACCATTGAGACTCATGGCATGAAGGTGAACTTATGCTCTTGAACTATTTGAGAGCACTAAGGCAAAATAAATACATTTATAAATAAAAAGATTTTGTATCACGTATTTATGGTAACCTTATGTTTTTTAAGTTAAACATAACAAAAACGAATGATTCTGTTATCTAGTGTTGTAAAATACCTAAACAAAACATATTAAACTTACGATTGTTATATTTGAAATTAAATTAAATGTAATGCTTGTAATATTTTTTTGTTCATGAGAACTACGATAATAAGCATCCTATATGATATGGATCTGTGTGTTTTATTACAAAAAATATTAATAATAATGGATTGTATAATAAAATTATTTGTAAAAAATATTCATTTGTTTTCTTCTATTGACAAAAAAATATGTAATAAATTGAATATAAAATCACATCAGTATCAAAAAAGGTTAATTCTAGCATGGTTTAACACTATGCACAAAATTTTATACAGAATTCGTGATTGAGTAACAAATATAGATGTTCATCAACTTTTGTTTGGTATATAATTTTAAAACAATCAGTGTCATTCAATATCTTTTTATCACATCAGGAACGGAGGGTTCGAGTCGTGTTCTCTAAATTGTACTGTACAGTAATAACAACCTAACTTCCTACATGTTTTTTATCATACAAAACACTTCTTCATTCATCTTCATCAATATAGCTTAATTACTAGTTGATACCATGTTTCTCACAAAGTGTTTTATTTTTTTGCTACGAAGTCATTGCCGGGTCTTACGAACGATATTCTGTATAAAAATCTTTTTGAAGTGCCGACACAGTCTTACAACGTGTTATATTAATGCGAGAATGAATGTGTTGGTTACATTTAAATTTAATGTTTAATACCGTATTTCTATTACCAAACACATGTATTAGCATGTTTAAATTTCATTTTTAAGAGATTTTTTTTGATACTTAGAAAAGCAATCGACGGATAGTGATAGATACCACAGATATATATATTATGATGCTCGTTATGCATTGCCATTCTTGAGGATTATGGCTATTATGCCTCCATACCTTATAATTTCACATTTATAATTTCATGCAGACCAAATAAATTACCTTACCTATTAGGAATGGCTGCATAAAGTCGCCATGTGTATCACAGTGACGTTTACAGTACTGATGTGTATATCAATTTTATGTTGTATAAAAATATATCAGAAACTGTTTGTTGCAAACTCCTTAGTTCTTTTATAAATTTTATTTTTATACTTTTTTGTTTTTACAATTATCACATTGCTTTTTGTCGCTGTCGTAGTCTGTCTTCTGTAGTTTTTTTTATTATAGTTATTTCCCATCAATCTCATCGTTTTAATTACACTAAATACATCAACATACAGTCCAAAATATAACCCATACTGTTATTGGGGCATAGAATAAATAAAAATTATAATTAGATTAAGTTCCGAATAGATGAAACACAGTGCACGTTATGTAGTGCGTCATTAGTAAATAATTTGCAACAGATTCTTTGCTAATCGTTAGTTGAATAAAGAGTATTGTTAGTTGATTTGGTTTTAAGATTTTATTTTAGATATAAATTAATTTGAATTTAGTAATAGGGTTTTATGAAGTGTTAATTATATTTGTTGTAACATTTGGACTGGTATCATTTTCTTCAATACGAATTTACAGCACAAAAAAAAAACATAAGTCTATGTGAGATTTTGTCGAGATTGTAATGAGATTGAAAGTATCTTAAATGTAAAATTGAGCATTACTCGACCTGCAATTATTAAACTAATTATATAACATCTTGTTATATGTGTATGTTAATAATAGAAAAAACCATGAAAAATTTAAAATATGCAATCATGCATATATCAAACAATTTCCATAAAAAAAAAATAGTAAAAAATATTAAACGTACGTAGACACGAATGCATTAATTATATGAGTTTAAATTATGGTGTCAATTATATTTTACTTCAAGTTTCTGAGATGATTTTTCCAAGAGATTATCACATGGTATGAGATTATTTTGAATTTTAAAATAAAGTATGTACTGATTTTTTTGTTATGGACGCCATATTGTTTTTTACGTGATATTATTATACATAACACACAAAGCTTGCGATAATACGATTTCAAGACTTTTGTTTTAATTATTTAATAATTAGTAATTAGTTTGTGTCCATTAATTGGAATTAAAAAAGTTTTTATGCAAAATATAATTGTTATGAAAACTTTGATTTATTAAGTTGTTAAATTTTTTTATACTTATAAGGAAAAAGGAATTGTTAGTTATAGAAATTAATGACCCCATTATTAGTAATATATCCTTTTAGTCGATCTTTGCTTGCTGCGACACGGTGCTTTCTGGAATCGTGGTTTATTCTGGGTGTATTCGTCGCAATGTCATTATCACATTATACTGGACTGGTTAACCTACTATCATTTTCACCTATTATTCCTCACTGGTGCTCCGCCAGCTTATACTGATAGTGCAAGTGCGGTTACCATTCCATTATCATGCATTAAAAAATATATTTATTAGCAAATTCCGATAAAAATGTAATAAACATAAATTACAATTTTACGTATTAAATTTATTGTTTCACGTTCGGATCTCTTTTATTTATCTGCATAATAAATA